AACGTAGCTTAATTTATAATATGAAGGAGTTTGCAAAATATGCATAGCTATTTTAATAAGAAAAATTTTTATATTTTAATGAAATTTAATTTTAAGGGGGAACATACGGGTAGACCGCAAGAAAAAAAGGTGAAATTCGGGAATTTTTATCTTGGAAACTATTAATTCGATTCGATCCGGGTTTTTTTTATTTAAAAGTATCTACATTGAGGCACGTTAACAAATTTTTTTAAAGGGATTTATTTCCTCGGAGCGCTGTTCTCGTAACCGGTGTAAAATGTGACACAGTTCACGGTTCCCAGAATATCTCGAGAACGGCTGGACCGATTTGCTTCAAATTTATACACAATGTTTTGCGATAGTTTTTCTTGTTTTCATCGGGAGATTTTTTTCTTTATTCAACTAGTTTTTTTTTTATCAGACTATAAAGGTCGAAATTTTTTTACGACCCAAATTTTCGACCTTTACAATCTGATAAAAGAAAACTAGTTGAGTAAAGAAAAAAATCTCGATGAAAACGAGAAAAACTATCGTAAAACATTGTGTATAAATTTGAAGCAAATCGGTCCAGCCTCGAGAATTCTGGGAACCGTGAACCGTGTCACATTTTACGCCGGCCACGAGAACAGCGCTCCGAGGGAATGAATTCCTTTAAAAAAATTTGTAAACGTGCCTCAATGTAGATACTTTTAAATAAAAAAACCCGGATCGAATCGAATTAATAGTTTCCAAGATAAAAATTCCCGAATTTCACCTTTTTTTCTTGCGGTCTACCCGTATGTTCTCCCTTAATTTTGTTATACAAGGAGAGAATTTTTTGTTATATTTTACCCTTAAATTCACTACAAACTTGGGACAACTTGGAAACCAAGGAATTTTTGAAATATACAAAAGACATTTTACAAACAACGTGATAAAAATTACCAAGCAGATTGGTGAATTTTGAAAAATTATTGAAATTTCCTAGATATATTTTAATAAAATTAATCAAACATATTTTAATATAATAGATATTAATATTTTTTATTATGGTGGATATTAATCAGAATAGCTCGCATAAAATTCTTGGTGGTACATGTTGTCCCACAACTACCATGATTGTAGGGTAAATTTTAAGAGAAAATTCTCTCCATGTAGAGATTGATTTTACAGTCAAACAAGAAATGAATTTTCAAGTAATTTATTGCGATAAAGACGCTGTTGCAAGGTAATTACTCTGTATCTAGGTAAAGATATGAATATGTAAACAACGGAACGGGCGGCGGAACTTCATTTTTTTCCATGAAGTTAACGTACTGGTTATGATAATGGAATTGCGTGGGAGGCAGACAAACGAGAGATTCTTCCTTATCGTGGGCAGTTGTAATAATGTATGCGACCGAAATTCTTTCAGAAATATGTTAATTTACAGAGGCGATTAACCTAATTAAAAAATTATACATTATTAAATAAAAAACTTGTATAATTATTAAAAATCTTAATTTTTTATTCGTATCAAGAATATATCATTCCTCTTTAAATGTTTTGTTTGTCACATGTTTTTTTGTATCATCTTGTTAAGAAAATTTTTGCAAGTGACGCGCAGATCGATTGCGTAATAGGGGATTCGAGGAAGTCTGTGCACAATTGCGAATTGCGATATTGTACTTCCGATACAATTAATAGCCGTCCTGCCTGTTTCCCATACCGAAATAGGACGTTTCCTGCCTGTTTTGCGTAACGCGACCAACACAAATGCAAAATGTGTCATACTCCAATGTGAATCCGCCGCTTTTTTTCAGTGTAACATACACGTATAAGCTATTCGTTAACTTAATCTTGGCGAGCATTTGACGTGTATGCGATACATTTAGTTTTTTATCAATTACACTGAGAAAAAATTTTTCTGCATTTTAGTAAATATTTGCATACAACTGTGACTCCATTTACTACAGTAAAATAATTTTTTCTTTTTATTAGTACATGTGTATTTACTGAGAAAAAAATATACCAATAAAAAGGAAAATTTTCTTTATTTTAGTAAATGGAGTCACAGTTGTATGCAAACTAATATTTACTAAAATGCAGAAAATTTTTTTCTCAGTGCAGTTTTTTCTAAAAGAGAAAATTATATTCTTTTAAATTTAAGCTGTTAATAAGCTCGCTTATTAAATCGGCGAAATTTAATGTAACGCCACAGCAACAACGAGGGTGACATCTCGAATTCCGTTATTCGATCTTATTCCATTTCCGCGTCTCGTTCTAGAACGATTTTAGAAGAAAGCGTGCCAAAAACCCGTGCACGTCTCTCGTCTGAATACGTATGCAGATAACGGGGATTCCCCTTCCAGGAGAAGGAAACCAGTATAGAGTCCCTCTAATAAGAGTCGCGACACGTTGAGTTTCGGCAAAATAAGTGAGAAAGAGAACAAGCGATATACATTCATATCGCTTTCTCTTTCTCTCTTATATCTCTTTTGCTTTCTGTTTCTCGTGCTTTTGCCGAAATGCGAACTAATCAAAAGTTGCAGCTCTGGTGTCGCGACTCTTATTTATAGAGGGACTCTAGAAACCAGCATTGCACCATGCTCCCTCGCGTACAGGTATAATTAAATACTTGTCTACGTAACCCGGAGGATAAACGCGTGTTTGTGAAGCGCGATATCGCATATGCGCGCTGCTGCGCTAAGTTTCAGAATATGTCTCCCACCTCGCTTAACGATTTCGTTGTTGCGTCAGCGTACGCGTGCGAGAAATTACACGTTGCCTTGCCCTAAAGAGCACAGGTGAATTTACAGCCGATGCAAAACGTGAGTTATTTCACATTTCCTGACAATCTTAGAAAAGAAATTTATACTTTGATAGAGATAAGACCACGAATGTTTTAATTTGCGCAATTGAGAGTTTATTTTGAAGACTTTAAAGCTTCGATTTTGCGGATTTAAAACTTGAATTGCGACAGAATTACGGATAAGTATTCCGATCGAGATTACAGAGGGAAAAAAAATCTCGTTCGCGCGAAGCGTTCCATGGTCGTCGCTTGTCTCGTGGCACGGATTCCTGCAGTTTTATAGGGTCGTTGCGTCAACAACGGCGGAATAAAAACGTTGTGTGCAATATGCGCGAAAGTCTCCGCGAAGCGAAGATATCGATGATATTGCGATAATGTCACATAAAGTCAGTCTCTATGCAGAAACGTGACAAAAAACAACCAACTGCGACTCGGCCTTTTGTTATTCCTTATTCTCGATTTTTCAAATGTAGTCGAGCAAAATCGCGCGTTAGACCTCGATAATACCTAACGACGTCATTTTTATGTCGGATAAAAGAGAACCTTGGAACATTTCTGCGATTAATTTTCGTTAAATTGACTAAAAATATTTAATACCTGCGGTGTTTCAGTATCTTACTGTGTTCTTGATTTATTAAGATTTTATATGAATTATTAAGATTAATTATTAGATTATAGCGTGATAGAGGGAGATTTGTGACAGGTCTTTCATTAGCGTTCTGTATAACGAAATTTCGCTATTTACGTACCGTTATGCACCTCATTCCGCGTTTAGTTGTTACGTTGGATTACTTTAATTACGCTCGATTATCGGGACACGGTTACCGGCCGGGGAAAGCAAAAGGGGATACGCGTAGCTCCGTATCGCGGCGAAAATAAATGACCACAATGACTATACGCGATAATTCGGAGAGCTAGTGGTACGTGAAATTCAGTATGTAGGACTGTAGCGCGGCCGGCTGTAGAGCGATAGCCGACTAACATTATTTCGAAGGGATTTAAACGGTCTGCGCGCGCGACACGGGGAAAACCGGTTATCTCTCTTTCTCTCTCCGTCGTCGTGCGTGACGCCGAGTAATGGAATTCCTTTAAGTACCGTTCAGAGTTGCATCAGGATCCAAGGTCATTATAAGTATCTCTTCGCGGGCAGCGATCTTTATCCGAAATACTCGCCCGGGTTTGCGATATAGTGATATACAGCTGTGGCAGAGAGGAGCGAGCGACGCGATACAATCGCGAGATACTCGAGCGGAAACTCCGTGTCTCGTTAAATCTGAACGCTAGGCGTTTGTGAATCCGACCGTATATTACGCGGCGTGCAGTTTTTTGTCCCGCGCGCTGCCGCAGAAGGTTGCGCACCAACACGGACGAAACGTGTCAAAAAAGCCGCAGTGTCATTCGGCTTTAAAAGAAAATATATCCCGTCTCGTTCCGTTTCTGCCTCCGTAATCGCGGACGTGGAGCGAGCGATCTTTATCTGGACACTATTCCAGTAAAGTTGCAACCGCGAAGCCATTAGGAAAGTTCTGTTAATAATAAAATTATATAAATTACATACATACGCGCGTAATGAAATCCAATCTATCTTGACTGCAGATATAACTTCCGTATCTACTTACACTTGTTAGGGCAATTAAATACTACCTTAGACTGATGTGTTGCTTTTTTATTTTATATATTATATATGTAAAACGTTCCACTTGTCGCTCATTATTATTAATGCTCGATCGATTTTTCCTGCACTGAAAAAAAATTTATTGAAATCAAGAAGATATATTTTTTAAAATTAGTTTTTTTAATTCAAAGAAATATTATATAGATAGATTTGAGGAAATATTTTAAATTCGGGAAAACCCTCTTTACTTCTTTGAATTAAGGAAACTAAATTCAAAGAAATCTATTTTCTTGATCTAAATATAAGTAAAACGCTCCACTTGAGTTGCTCATTATTATGTAATGACTGCTCGATCGATTTTTCCTGCACTGAAAAGAAGTTTATTAAAATCAAGAAAATAGATTTCTTTAAATTATTAGTTTCTTTCAAAGAAATATTAGATAGATTTGAGAAAATATTTTAAATTCCCAGAAAAACTCAATAAGGAAACTAAATTCAAAGAAATCTATTTTCTTGATTTTAATAAATTTTTGTTTTTAGTGTGTACATTACTTTTGCTTCCATAAAAATTCTACTTTTCTTAATAATAATATTCTTCTTTCATTTTTGTTGCAGAACACACAGAAGTCTATCGACTCGAACGACACGGCGCACAGCGACAGCACCACCGTCGCGCAGACGACGACCGGCGGCGGCAAGGAGTCCGACATGCGGGAAAACGGCAACGGCGGCGTGAACCACGTGCACGGCACGGGTAACGGCAGCCTGGGGGTCGGGGACGGTACGAATAACAGCGAGCCCCGATCTCAGGGCCTGAACCTGACGATGAGCGCGAAGGAGCTCAGGGAGATGCTGGCGCAGCGCAAAAAATACGACCCGAAGAAGGAGTCGATCGGCTTCAAGGACAAATTCGACATCGTGCAGAAACTGTAGACGCGTGCGTCGTCCGCCCTCGTGCCTCTCCTGTGAAACTCGTCGGTGATCCTTCATTCCTTTATTTCTTTCTTTTCCGCTCGTTATCGCCCGTCGAGCGCTCGGCGACGTCGACGACGGTTCCCTTCCTACGATGTAACGCATTTTGTTGTAACCGATCAAATTGTTGTAATAAATACACGATTGTTTAGACTATCGTGGACATTGACATCGCGATATCGTAACATAAATACATTCATCCGCGGCGCACCAAGGACGCCGCGGAGAGTATTAGGACTAACGAAAAAGGAGATAACGCCGTTTGTATAAGTACTCTCTAAATTTTTTCGAGTGAAATATCACTCTAATCGAGTGGAAATTTACTCGAGCAAAGAGTGAAAATGGAACATATCTTATTGAGTGAATATTGACTCGATTTGTCGAGTGATTAGATCACTCGCGCGCTCGAGCGAAATTTGACTCGTGTATTTGAGTGAAAACTTGCACTCGATCAGAGTGCCTTCTTCAGGTGTCTGATTTTGCTGTTCGCTCGTTCTTAGAGTAAAGTTTTACTTAAAAGGCGAACATGTTTCCTAAGACTCACCACATAGCATTTCTACCTGTTATTTTAAAACGTTGGTTAGGTTAATTTGCTAAGGCCCAGTTGTTCCAACCTATTGGTAAACTAACTAATAGTTAGTTTAAGGAAAAACGAATCGGGAAGCCGTGAGTTGCAATGCGGTCGCACGCGAGGAGGAGGCTCTTCGTCGGTATCAGGACACGATGCACGACGATCCCATCCACGGGGAGGCGTCGCGAAGCCGTCGCGGCTACGATCTGTGCCCGCGGAATCACCACCGTGCAAGCATGACCGCGACGTCGGTGACGAGCCTGACGGTGAGCACCCGGGTGTACGAGGGTCAGAAGCCGGGCATCTCGGGTCTGTGGAAGGCCGTCAAGGTCTTTCAGCAACACTACACGGACAACTTCGTGCAGGCGATACTGGATGCCCGGGCGATCAGCTGACCGGCTGCACCCTCGTCGTCGGCGGCGACGGACGGTTTTATGGGAGGCCTTAGCAAATTAACCTAATCAACGTTCGAAAATAATAGATAGAAATGTCGTGTGGTGAGGTTATATCAACCTTAGGAAACATGTTCGTCTTTTAACACGATATTCACAAAATCCACGCACTAATATCCACAATTCTTCGAAATCTTTAGGTATAAACACAAATATACATCACGTAAGCCCGACATTGTAACATGGCACGTCTCTTGCGCGGGCTACGCAACTGAGCCATTCGGTTCAAGTAAATTTTCACTCGACCCGAGTTGCTCGGAACCAGCGTACCACAATTCACTCCGACACTTCGAGAGAATAATTAAGATTATTTTCACTTTATAGTTCGAGTCACAGATTTCACTCGAATCGAGTGAAAATAAGTGTAAAGTCACTCTGTGAAGAGTTGATAGTGCATTCACTCAAGCCAAGAGTCAAATTTTCACTCGAAAATATTTAGAGAGTACATTGTTAATTTTTAGTTTACACGAAGTTTGCGAATTTACATGTGCAATTTTTGTCACGCTTCCGCGTCGGAAGTTACGACAGATTTCGAGTCACCGGTCTATCAACATTTAACATAGAGCTATGAAATACGAAGAGAATTGTTTTTAACGGAAGTTGCGCGTTTCCCACTTTTTATTGCAGGTCATTAGTTCTTTTTTTTCTCGCAACTTATAGTTACATGGTAGCCCGAGAATATCGTTTTTTTTCCCCCCGGAATAACAATTTAGTCTCGAAGATGTTCCTGTTGTATTTAATTACAACGCTTCCCGATTAGTGAATAATTAGAACCTCACTCTTTCGACTTGAATTATCCACGGTGTCGTCACGTCAATGTCTAAGTACCGTCTCGTCCGTTAAATTCGGGAGATCCGCTCGCCGTCTCTTCCCACGACTTTCTCCGGCGAGAATTGATCGCCGTCTCCTCGATGTAGTAATCGTCTCGAACGTTACGTCGATCACGCGAATTCTTCGCCGCGGCTGAAGACGGTTTCTAATCGCGCGCGTAAATGAGAAGTAACTTCTGATAAATATTCCCGCGATGTATATTGACAAATTGAAAATTTACCCCGGGGTCTCGACGTTTTATTGACCAACAGACCGAACGTTTAATTAATCACGGAGCACGTTGAATAAATCATAGGGAGTCGACTTGGCATTCGTAAACTAAAGTTATAACAAACATCCAATTCAAAAGAATTCCATCCTTAACATTTTTCTTGCATTTTTTCGCGAACGCTAATCAGTTTGACTTACCGTTCGATTTATCGCAGCCGCTCTCGGTTAAGGCTGTGTAATGGGGATTAACACGGTTGCCAGGACGACAGGTCGTGATGTCGACACGCGGAGAATTCGACGCGCGCGGAGTCTTTCGATAATCGCGCGCGAAGCGTAGATAATGTCCGCGTGAGTTGCAAAACGCCGTAGACCGTCCATTTCGACGTTGCATTTGTAGTTTTGGTTCGTATTCGCGGCACGACTGTAAAGGACTCGCAAGGACGGACGTTCCTCGCGCGCGCGCGCGCGCGCGCTGCAACGGGTCTACGAAGTCAGTCAGTCGCCTGAGTCGCCCCGTCGTACGGTCCAAGGACGAGCGATCTGGGAGAAAGTACCAAGCCAGACGTCGGACGAGTCTCTCGGTTTAATCTCCGTTATCGAATTCAGGACGCGGAGTCGCTTTTTTTTACGTTGCGCGTTGCAGCACCCAGGCGGATCGACTCAGGAATTGAACATCCGTGAATTTTATAAATTGTGATGCGTCATATCTCGCGTTTCGCTCACGCCCGACACTTAACGTTGTTAATTGAAGCACTAAGATTAATGTGGACGTAATGACGCTTGTATTTTGTAATTAAATCTTTCATGGCGATAAATAATTGCGCTGGTTAAATAATTCAATATGATATAGTTGTTAACTAAATAATATGGATAATTCGACGTATGGCACATAGCCAAGCTTATGACACAAGTCAACTGAAAAAGTTCCTAAATTCGTTCTTATTTCTCTAAAGCACATTTCTCACACTCGATTATTTTTAGCGCTCCAATGAGATAATATCGAAACGTTCTATTTGCGACGTGATTTTATTCTCAAAGGGGATAATGAGAGATTAGTTCAATCTCCAATCGCGTATATTTCGATAAGAAAAACGGTATCACACCCGATAAACCGTATAGTGTTAGTGACTAATCGAACCAGCCCGACTCCGCTGTAGTTATAATTTAATTGCTTAATGATCTAGTTATCTCAGGTGATAGGATATGAATATTGCCTCGTGATTAGTACAATGATGTTGCATGTCTCATCAATGCATTTAATAATCGCCAGAACAAGTATTTTTCAACATTCTTACAATTCTATTTCTGGAATTTCGGTAAAAATTCAAAGCTTTAAATGCAATATAAAAGTTGAATTTTTAAAGAAGATAAACGGCTCGTTTCGCAATTCGTATTGTTCCTTGTTTCCGCATTTCTTTTTTTCAATTATAGCTTCCGGCTAACGATTTGCCACGGTCGTTTATTGTCACGTGTCTCATGGGAGAACCCCGTGCTAACAGTCAATTAAATGCATCTCTTACGTACGTTACGCGTGATATAAGAAGAAATCACGGTATTAAAGATGCAACAAAAACCCGAAGAAAAACTGGAAGGTAGCTAATTTAAGGGAATGGAAACAGCGACTCGATTGTAATCTCCATTCCTCTTCACGCAGTACATTACTGAGCGCCCACCAAACTTAATGTAAAACGAACCTTTGAAAAGTACACTGCGTCCATAACGGAAACATATTTACGAATAAACTCGTTCCTCGAGATATTCCTTTGTTCGATGTGCATATATACGCATAAAACGTCCATTTCGAACGAAACGAAATCAATTAAGCACGTGCGGCATTCTCGGGGCAGAATATTATCAGGGAGTGACGATAACAGCGGCACGGCAAACAGGTACGCGCCGGCGTTCGGAAATTTATAACTCTGCTTTCGTGACGCGCGTTCGATAAACCGACTCGTCGAATGCGGAGACGTTGCGTAATCAGCGGAGCAAGAATGTCGCGTTACAATGGCAGCGAGAGAGAGAGAGAGAGAGAAGCTGCCTTTCGGGATTCCACCTTCGGCGCTTCTCGCGGCGAGGCTCGCGGAAAAGTTGAGTACACAACTCGAGACTCTCGTTGCTAAATATTACGACGACGCGTTGCGCAACCTTCAATTATCGCCATCGTTGTCGTCGTTGTCGTTATGCATTCACCTGTTAAGAGAGCGCGCAGGCGTTCGGCGTTCCCGAGATATAACAAGTATAGATCGTGCCTTTTTTTGCATAAATACGGATACAATGGAGTGAACGAAGCCTCGTTAGTCTATCGGGAAAATCCTAACAATTATATCCGGGTCTTTTAATTTCATTGAAATGCACAAAGATCGTTATATATCTAAAACTATTAGAAGCCATATGGTTACAACGATAGAATATTACGAACTAAATCTTCCCGTTGCAAATAAGGACCCACAATTTTGAACATAACATCGTAAAATTTTTAAAAATGTTTATTACATCAACATATATTAATCGTCCTCAATTTGTTACCGTTTGTTTCGAGAGTGTTAATCGATGCATTTGAAATTTAAATTGTTTAACAATGTTTCCTTGTAAGTTTATGACGTCGTCAATGTTGCGCATGGTTGAATGTTTCCTGATGTTAACGACAATTCGCTCTCGCCAATAGCCGCCATAAAATTTCGTGCGAACGATTCGGCTGGAGAACGCAGTTATCCGACAGGTTTCGCTCGTAATTTGTTACGAAAATAGCAAAAGCGGCTGTTAACGTTAAAATCACGTGTATGCATACGCACGTACCTGTTATCCTGTGTGCTAATTAAATCTGGTGCGCGTAGAGACCGTTATGTCATTCAGCGGCTTATCCGAGTGAAAGTATAATAATGAGGCACCCGATCGCGCGTGTAACGTATAGAGTTTGATGAACGAAAATACCGCATTTGTACGCATATATTGTAATATAATCCTGCATTAAAAAAGCGTCGCGCACACGAGGTGTGCATCGAAATCTCGCCACGTGATTTCTAACTCGTGCGTTTGCGTAAAAGAGTCACGGTGCGGTCTCGCTTCGCGTGTACTTGGCGCGAGACACTACCGTGTCTCTTGATTTTGCGTTATAAGGAAAAGCAGCTTAATGTCTCAGCGACGTCGTTTTGCGAATGCGCTTTGGGACGAGAAAGTAAAATGCGACAGAAAAATGAATTTATATCCCAAACGAAAT